GTAAGAGACAGAAGAGAAGACATGGAGAAGAGGGGGCCGTCGGGAGGCAGAGGCAGAGCTCGAGTGAAGTGGCCACAAGCCGTGTATGCCTGCAGCCACCAGACGCTGGTATGTCCTCAGGTCCCTATAACACGCTGCCACACACTGGGGGCTAAAATCGTTGTGTTGTTATAGTTATCACTGCCCTGCTTAGACCAGATTGTGGGAAACCCTGGATGAATGTTGCCTCTCCCAAGAGTGTCTGCTTCCACTTGGGGTCTCACTTCTAGGAGTGAGGCCTCTGGAGTTTTGTTGGGTCTTTGTGGCTCTTCAAGGTGCAGGGAGTCCCAGGAAGGGCATCTGGGGGATGCGGGCACTGGGCTGAGTGGTCCTGCATGGATCAGCCAACTGGATGGCAGGTGTTCCATGTCAGGGCCCCAACCCAGGTGCTCACAAGCCTCATGTTCTAGTGCTTTCTGACTCTCCATGATGCACATTCCTTTTCAAATCTCTTTCTACTTCCATCCCTTGACAATTTTAATAACGTGCACCTATGCTGGGAGCTAGGGAGAATGTCTCCCATTTCCACGGGTTTTGTGGATAAACAATGAAGTGATTGGCAGTGTATGGGAGGCCCTGTACCTAGGAGTGGGAAATTGGGTCAGGTAGACACACCTTGACCTAAATTTTTCCTTGTCTTACAAGCCTCTGCAGCTGATCTGATTCAAAATGAGGGGCTAGAGGAGGCTTCCTCTCATCTCTTTGGGGCGCAGGCTCCTGCCTTTACTGCACTGAGACCTGTGAGCAATGCAGCTGCTGGACGATTCAACTTGACCAAGGAGTGGCCTTTCGATCCCAGGCACTCCTAAGAGAGTGCGGCCAGGTGAATACGCGTGCTTGCCCTAGATGTCTCTTCAGGCCAATGAAGAATTTGCACACAAGTACCTGGGCTATAAGCCATCCACAAAAGGCTGGAAGGGATGACGTTTCTGAAACCCAATTATGTCGGTGTTCCCACAGCTGCAGAAGAGGGGCAGTATGATTAAGGCACTGCTGTCTATGTCATGTCTACTTCCAGCTCCCACTCCTCACAATCAGAATCCCAAGTTTACCACAACCCCGGCCGTTAGCATGCAGCACATGCCTGGCCTCCTGTGGCCCCAGGAGGTGTGCAGCCAGAGCAACAGACAGCTCAGTGCTCCTTGTCTAGTGTTGAACACCACTCCTCACACTGCACTGGGGCCTCCGTCGCAGTGGAGGGTTCTTGGCTACATGTGGGATAGAAATCACACACAAGCTGTACAGCACGAGGCAGTGTTTGTAAGAGGGGAAGGTCAGATTACCTAGGGAAGCGAAGCCAGGCACCCCGTGGGCAGAGCAACCCCCAGCCCCACCCCGTGGCTCCTCCGCTCTTTATTGGAAGTACAAGTATGTAAGCAGAGGTGGAATACTTGTGATTTCTCTGGGGAGAGTCTCAGAACAGAGGGGTCTTTTCTGGGAGTTGCCATGACAACTGCAAACTGTCATGGCGCTGATGTGTGTGATTTTTACCATGTGACTGAGATTTTAATGAAATTAGAGGTCTGTTCCTGTTCAAATTGGCCACCACCTTGGTCTGATCTAGTTCCAGCCCATTTCAGCAGTCTCAGGCCATTGAACCCGTGTCCCGCTAGTGAAGCCAGCTTGGACTTGTCTGCTTCACCAGCCATTTGCTTTGCTGCCTCTCCTTTATGTCTTCTAAATGTCTCCTAAGACCAGGAGAGGAGATGGACATTCCTTCTCATTCGGATGCGGGAAGCTGGTGCAGAGCCAGGCTAAACTCCCTGAGTATGAGAAAACATTTCTCCCAGGTATATCTTTTCGGATAGGATTTGAAGGTCCAATACAGGAGAATGTTCACCTGCATAGTTTCCTTGCCAGCTTACAACTCAGTTTTCATCTGGAGACTGGCCTCTTGGGGATGACCCACTACCCCCCAGTGCCCGCCACCTTGGTGCGCACTTGATGCCCGGGGGTGGGGGGGGGTAGTGGCACCTGCTGAAAAGAAGCCATGCGTCATTAGGGAGGAGTCCACTGTCTTTGAATAAGATATTTTGTTCTCCTAGGCTATAACTGCTATTTTCTTAGCTCTCCCAACTTGCAGCAGGTCAAAAGTACTGAGGAAACTTCCTTCCAGGGTGCAGCTTTTGGGCTTCTGGCTCCACCGGCTTCTGGGAACAGCAGCATTTCTTGAAACCAGCAAGCTGGCACCTTTCACTGAACAAGTCCTGATGGCCTGCAGCCAGCACAGGTGATGGGGCAGTGGGGACAGACGGCTGGGCTTGTAGCTTTGACCACGTGGGCAGAGTGAGCCCACACCCTGAGGAGTCCTCTCTGCAGGAGGCTCTGTAAGGGCCCTCCTTGAGGAATGTGGCATGATAAAGAATGTATGTGGCCTTTTGTCCAGCTCATAACTTCAAAATCCCTTGAAATTTCCTGAGCAATAGGAGTGTCTTTGTTATGCTAATGAAATGAAGAAGGGGTAGATAGCTTCCGAATGGGGCTTGTCACATCACCGAAAGATCAAGCACCTGAGTACCAGACTGAGATCCTCTGAGAGGAGGAGAGACGAGAAGGCTGGGTGGGGGTGGAGTCCTTCACGCTTCCAGATCCAGCCCAGCCCAGAGCAGCTTCCTGGCTGTGAGCAGCATGGGGCCCAGAGGGGCCGCCCTCCACATAGATGGGGCATGGGGACTCTGTGTCTCCCCATGCATCCCTTCCACTTGGCCGATCCCAAGTTTAAGGCTGTTTGCTTTATAATAAAACTAATTCTAAGGACAGCACTTTTAGTGCATTCCTCTAGTTCATCTGGTGAGTAACCAAGCCCATGGGGTCTTGTAGCCCCTGTTAGCCAGCCCAGCAGAAGCAAGTGGCCCCTGAGACTCGAGGCTGACATCTGAGGTGGGGGTAGTCTGTGCTGGAAGCACCCCTAACCTGTGGGACTCCCATATGGTGCCAGAGGATTGGCATCTGGACAGTGGAGGGCTGTCCTCTCCGCCTTGTCCAAGCCCCTGCTCCCATCTCTCAGGAGGTGGAGGGGGGCAGCCTTGTACAGCACTGACCGAGTCCTTGTTTGTACCAAAGGCAGGGCTGACGGTGTGAGCAGGTGAACAGTGTCTGACACTGGACATTGGCGGTGGAGAGCATGGTGATAGGCCTGTCCTCTTCTTCCCAACCTGCCTGTGGGTCTGTGCTCACCCTCTTGGATCCCCAAGATGGCACACTGAACAGTTTCTCTGGAGAGGGTGCACAAGCCAGAGCTCCCCGCTGTCACCAAAGCAGCTGTGCAAAAAGCGCCTCAGGGACAGAGCCGCCTTAGGATGCCGGGATTCCTGCCCTCCCACTTGAGCATCTGGTTCTGCTCTATGAGCCTGGTGAATGCACCTCTGGGCAGCCCTGTGGCTTCCAGAGCGTAGATGCTGAAGTTAAGTTGCTACTGATGGTTTCAGATCATGACCAGTGTTATCCTGCCATCAGCCAAGCCAGTCTAGTAGGATACCAATAGCCAAAAGGGAGACCAAGATAGATTTGTTCCCGCCACCCCTCCAAACCCACCACTCTGCCGGCAACTGGATTTCAGTGTTTGCTGAAGATGCAAGGAGCTGGTATGATTTCCATGCAAGCTTACACATTTCCCACTCCAGACTTCCTCTGGAAGAACATTCAGGAGAAATGCTTAAAACTATCCAGAAATCTCTCTCTTAACTTACCTTCAGAGTAGGCTGGAGGCAGGTCCCATCTCTTCACAGAGCACACACATTTGAAGGGAATCCAGCTGAATTTGGATGGGACTGATTTACCCCAGCTATGAGCTGCACCTTTCTTGACCCACAATGTTTGCAGGGCAGACTTCCCAGCCCTTCCATCTTGTGCCAAGATGTAGAAAGACCTGATTACAAGAGGCCAGTGTAGACATGACTACACTGAATTGTTTTTTAGGGTGATGAAAGTAAGTTGACCTCCTTCCACTTGGCTGTGTATGAGGGGACAGCCCCGTCTCGCAGAGGTTGCTGCCCAAGATAATCTTGGCTATAGCCGAGAAGTGCACCAGCCCTTTCCACTTGTGTATATTCCTGAGGAATCTGCTTTCCTGTAAGAGTTTTGCATCTTCTCATAGGGAATTTCTGTGGCTTCAATGTACCTTGATGATTATATGTCCAGTAATCCTGCTGCCTGGTTGTAGGCTATGGTTTCCAGAGAGTATAAAGCTCCCAGTGGGGATTAGATAGTTAAGGCAGGTATGGTAGGACCCCAGGGCTTTGCCTTTGATCCCTTTTAACCAACCTGTGGATGCGGGTGCCCCGCACAAGCTGGGCAGCAGGAGGGCCTGGCCAGCGTTCCTCCTAGTGCTCCTTTCCTGGCCAGCCGGCTCCTCTGCACATTTCTCACCTTGTTTGCCTGGAGCACTGGTGGGCACTGGCCATCACTTTTGAGATGTAATGTATCGACTTTTGTTGCTAATACAAAATGTGCTCAGGCTTGTTTGACGGACGGGGGTCCTCAAATCCCCCTCATTACGCTGCAGGCAGAAGCGGGGTGTGCATGGTCCAAACCACTTCTGGCAGAGAAGGGAAATCAGCTCGTGGGAGAAGAGCCACTTGGGCCAATCAATGTCCAAGGTCCATGCGCTCTGCCATCTGGCTACGGGTTTGACTTAGGAAGCAAAAGGGGCCTTCCTACCACTGGCCTCGTCTTTGTCTGCCCCAGCTGTGGAGAGAGCTTGGGAGACAGAGAGACGAACACTGCGAGAATGCTGGGTAAAACCTACTGCTGGTGGAGAGCAGTTATGGCCTCCCCTCTGGAGGGGGTCAGGTCAGGCTACGAGGACTAGACACCTGAGCCCTGCCTCACGGGGCGATGCTGGGTGTCTTAAGGGCTGTTCCCAGCATCCTTGCGCCCCAGGCTGTCAGGCTGACTGATCACATGTCAGCTGCGCTTTATGTGTTACTGTTTTACTGAAGTAAAATGAGAAGTCTGGCACGTATATTAATTCAGCAAGTGAATTTTTATTATGCACCTGTGAGTTTGTGGGAACAACGTCCAGGGTTCAGAGAAACGGGGGACAGGCACCTCTCAGATGTGGGATTCCTGAGCCTCCTCAGTGAGGCAGAAACCCCACTCACCCGCCTGCCCAGTCCCCAGGGAGGGACCAGCTCTCTAGTTACCTAAACTTTCCCCAGGGCAGGTACCCCCACTGGCTTCTCCTGCAGGAGAGGGGCCTGGGATTTGAGCCACATCACCCAGGGGGCTCCTGATCCAGGGACGACGGCAGCTCCCGCACAGCACCGAGGCGCACAGCCCACCTGTGGGTTTCAGCTCGCCACATTCCCTTTGCACCTTTCTCATAATCTGATTTTACACATAAAATACGCCAGTAAGTAGAGTGACATTCTTGAAGACAACTGTCTGGCAGATGAGTTAATAACCTCACTGCTAATGGGTCCCCGACAAGAGCACACAGTCTGGCTTCTATTTGGAATTTTCCCACCTTGGCCTTACAGATTTAATTTCCCCCTCTTCCTGGCAGATCAGTACAAGAGGCAAACTATTTAAAAAATGAGCAGCCCCAGTAGTTTATTGCTTGTTCTGGGTATGGCCCAGTGGTTTTCCCGCATTTTCTGTTCCCGGGTGTGTCACACATCCACAGACATCAATTGTGACTACGGGTTGTAACTTTCACTGGGCGTGGGGCAGGGGCGTCAGTGTGACAGTGAAGTGGATGACAAGGGGCAACAGGCCCTGTGTTCACTTACCCAACCTACTGGCTGCTGGTGGGACCCACACACAAACAGTGCCTGACACACTCAGCCACTTACAGCACCTGCCGTCCCTCCACCAGGCCCAGTGGTCATTGCCGGTCTTCCCAGAACGACATCACGGCTTCCATCAACTGAGGTCTCACCAAGGGTCGACCCTGGCCAGAGTCCCAGGCTACGGCCTTGAGGCTACGGTGCAGAGGACGCCCACCCTGCAAGCAGCTTGGGTCTGAACAGCACTTCCCACAGGGTTGAGGGCAAGCCACCTCATTTGTGTCGGCTTGCCTGTGGCCAGGCAGTGAACACAGCGCCATGGGGCTGTCATGCTGGTGGCTGACTTGTGTCTCCCCACTCCCCCACAGTTTAAGGCCAACCCCACATACAGTAGCATATGACCTTTGAAAACAGGGTCCCTGTGGACATAATTCAGATGGAAACAAAGGTAGCCCTTAACCCAGTGTGACTACTGCCCTTATAAAAGGAAGCAGACAAGCACATAGGGAGAACATCTCGTGAAGATGAAGGCAGCTGGGGAGACGCCTCTACAAACCAAGAAATATCCCTGACTGCCACCAGACACAGAAGCTGGGGCCTGGGACAGAGTCTGCCTCCTGAGGAACCAACCCTGCTCACAACTCATCCTGGCCCTCTGGACTCCAGAACTGACCTAAATTTCTGCTCTAGGCCTCCCAGCTCTTACAGCAGCCTTAGCAAAGGAATACACCCAGCAGGCTACTTTAATGCCACCTACATAGAGCATGACTTCCCGAAAGGTCCCATTTCCCCTGCTCAGCTATTCTGGACAAGGGACGTCCCCTTGGGGGCTAATCTCCCCATTCCTGGGCACCACAGAACAGGAAGGGGAACGTTAAGTGCCTTTCAAGTGCCGATGACTTCACTGCCCCCACAACCATTTACCAGTGACCCTCAGGGTCAAAGACATGATGCTTGGGGATGGTGTGCAACCAGGTTTAAAAGGGGGCTTTGCCCTGGTTGGCCCATATTCCCTAATAACCAGCTGCCATCACAAACAAAAGGGTACTAGTTTCTCTTCTGCAAGGAGGAGCTGGAAAGCTCCCCCTCAAGGCTTCTGAGCGTGAACAGGCTGCCCGGTAACTGCAGGATGCCCCTGGGGGCCAGGGCTGGGGACTCAAGCTTGTGATGACATACATGGCTTGGTGGGCTCGGCCCAGCTCCGTGATGCCCACAGCCCTGTCTCACTGTCCCCTCCTAGCCTGGCACCACCTGTAGCTTCCTGTTGTCAGATACAAAGGCCCAGAACCTTAGGATGGCTGGGGGGTCAGACAGGGCGGGATGGGGGTGTATCCAAGGTCGGTCAGTAAGGGACAGACCTCCATGGTCACTGCAGTGGGGGTGGCCCAGCACCGCTCGCTTGGGAAGCACTGGGCTGGGTTCCTAAGTCCCAGAGACGTGGTGTGTGGGAGGTTCCACGCTGGTGGTGACACACCGCCGTTTTTTGGCACAGCAGACAGAACACTCAGGTGGCCACCCTCTCACTACCTGAGATCCAGGGGCAGGAGGTGCAGTCCAGTCTGTCCTGGGCCGTGGCTGGGCTGCACCTGTGCCCCAGGCCCGGCTCAGTAGGAGTTGAGGGCCTGCTTGGAGCGGCGCTTCATGTGCAGGCGCTCATGGCGGAGGAGGTCGTAGTTCTGTAGAAAGCTCTTGGCGCAGTAGCGGCACTGGAAGGGACGGGCCTTGCCCTTGGAGTGCAGGCTGCTGCGATGCCGCGCTAGGTGGTAGGGCCGCTGAAAGGCCTTCCCGCAGTCACAGCATTGCAGGCGCAGGGCGGCCTTGCCTTTGGCCCGCATCCCGGGGCCCCCGCCTCGCGGCTCGGCGGTGGACTCCCTGCGCGGCAGCTGCTCACGCGCGTCGGATGGCAGGTGCATCCGCCGATGGGACAGCAGGTGCGCGTGCAGGCGGAAGCTCCGCCCACAGGCGCCGCACCGGTGAGGCTTCGCAGCCTCGTGCGTCTCCAGGTGCCCGTCCAGGTCCTCACTGTCGCTGAACAGCTCGCCGCACACCGAGCACTCGTGCTTCTGCTCACGGCGGCTCCGCAGGTGCCGCACGAAGTTGACCCTCCAGCGGAAGATCTTGCCGCAGTTCGGGCACACGTACTTCTTGGACGTGGCCTGCCCATCGCCTCCTGCCTCAGCTCCCCGGCGCAGGGCGGGGTGCCCGCCTGCCTCGTTGGCACAGTAGGGGCCGAGCTGGGAGTCCTCATCCCCAGAGCTGGACAGCACGATCTCGATGGTCACCTCCTCGTCCAGGCTGTCTCCCGGGGCTGGCTTGGTGCCTCCGGCTGTAGGGAAGCAACTTGGTGGGTCAGGGATACCGACCTGCGGGCCCTACCGCAGAGCACGCATTTGGGCAGCACACCTTCCTGCCCTGAGGACCCCTGGTGAGGCCCGAGTCAACAAGCCCTCAGCAGGCACTATCCTGGGACCTCCTCTGTCTTCCCTTCCCTGTCCTTTCCCATCCCCCACATCACACACATAAGCAAACTCTGGCGAGGTGCCCCAAGGTTCAGGGTGCACCTGACAGGTCCTGTAGCTTCCCACGGTCTGCCCAATGGTCACCGCACCCTCTCAGTGTCACATCTGAGGGCTGCCAGTGACCACGAGTGATGATGGTAGAGATGTTCTGTAGTTCATAAGGTTTAAGGAAAACCACAGGTTCAACACGGAGTCACTGCTGGGCCAAGTTAACCCAACCACCACCTCCGTCAGCACTGTGGCAGTCAGGGATTTCCGGGCAGCATCCATGTGATGTCACATGGACCCTCTCCAAGGAAGGCAGGTGATCTACCTGTTAAGACCCTTCAGTCCCCAGATGGAGGTAATCTCACCAAAATACTCTGCTTATGACCTTTTGTCCTGCCTTTAAAATCCTTTCCCTTCCTGTTGCCCTCTGGAGCACCCCTTCCTTGCTGGAAAGGATGCTACTCGATTCATGAATTGCTTAACAAAGCCAATCAGATCTGCAAATTTAATTGGCTGAATTTTGTTTTCTAACAGTAAAGGAGACTGAAGCTAGTCCTGTGGACCCTGAGGCTGGGATTTTGGAAAGCAGGACCACAGGGAAGAGGTAGGCAGGCAGCGAGTGCCTGGAGTGACGTCCTGGCCTGCAGGCTGGGCCTGTCACACAACCCTTGGGCCTGTCTCCTCACTTTGGTGAAATGTGGGACTGAGATCTAGATCGGGGAATAGTGGTGCCAGCTCCTTTGAGACATTAGCAGGAGTAAGGCAGTTTGGAGCATAACTGCTTGGGTAGGGAACCCAAGAGCAGGTGGAGCTGGACAAACAAGAGCAGGGCTGGGAGACCCAGAAGGCTCAGCATAACCCATGGGGACCTGAATTCATCATTCAGGAGGCAAGGGGGGATGTCAGGGAGAATGAAACTGGGCAGCAGGAAGAAACAGAAGATTTGGAAAATTCCATCTATCCATGTGAGGAAAAAAAGAGTGCATTAGGGAGAGAACACCCAGGGAGTGGTTGGACAGCCATTTGCTAGCGATTATGGGTGCAATCCCTGGACCATCAACCAGTTCAGAAGCAAGGAAACATGAGTTAATGTAGGACCATCTGCAGAGAACCCTCCTGTCTGGTGGTCTGGACCCTGTGAACTGCATTCAAATATTTTTGAGACATTTGTATGAGCAGACACTGCCAGCTTAGACTAAAAAAGCAAGAGGCAGTAACTAAAAGCAGGCTGTCAGACATCTGGGACTCCACAGAACCAGCCAACAGAGCTGTTGCTGCAAGCTTGTACTGCCTAGGAAGGAAGAGGCAGGTCAGGGGCCCACAGGGCTGCACTGTGTCCACGGCCCAGAGGCCCAGGCCCTGGGGGAGAGCACTGAGCCAGAGAGCAACATCAGACCTGGACCTGATGGAATTTGCCCCGCAGAATTGCATGGGGGCCACCAGCCTCCTTCTGATTTCTCCCTTTGGAGTGAGAATGTCTACTTGAGGTCTGTTCCTGCATTTTGGAAGCAGTAATATGATGTCTGGTTTCACAGGCCCACAGCTGGAAAGGAATATACCTTAGGGCTCATCCATACCTGATTTAAAGCCTATTTGGACAAGATTATGGACACAGATCTGACGCTGGATAGACTAAGGCATTTGGGGGTAGGGTGAATGTACTCTGAATGCTAAAGTCCTCAGTGTGGAGGCAGGAGGAGGTGCAGCTACTGGGAGGAAGGTAAGGTTGTATCACATCTTAAAGGTGGGACGCTCTTGCTGGGGTCAGTGCCCTTGTAAGAGCCAGAGGCAGAAGTGCAGTCTCTCTGCCTCCATGAGCCGGCCGAGAGCCCTCACCATGCACCAGACCCACGACTGCCAGGGGCTCAGGCGTCGCCGCCGCCCAGCAGTGAGCATAACATTCTGGTGGAAGCCACTCAGTCTGTAGTGTTTCACCATCATCAATGTGCTGAGCACCGTCTAGAAGGTGCTGTAACGATATAGTGCACAGAACCGAGCAGACCTCACGGGCGCTGTGCCTGCGACAGAAACAGGGCTTCCAAATGTGAAGGGGCAAAGGCAAAAAGAAAGAAGGACCAGCGGATACCCACTAAGCAACTCAGAGAAAACACAATAAACCACAAAGACTCTGTCTCAGGGCAGCATAAGGCACTGGCGGGACTGGCCTACATGGGTGGAGCTGGGCGCGTCCCCTATGGGCCCAGGGGATGTGGGGATATGGGTCTTTGAGCAGAGGGCGTGGGCGAGCCACCAAGATCAAAATGGTGCCCATCCTGGAAATGCAGTTTCTCTCCCTATTAATTCTCAGATAGCAGCCCTCCACTTCTTTTCGAGCAGGTTCTGGGTAGGAGCCAAGGGAAGGCATTGCAAACTCTCCCAGCGTACTTTCAAAAGCATCCACCTTTTGAAAGTACGCTGATGTAAAACAGGCCCGCTGTGGGCAGGCAGCAGCCAGAGGGTTCAAGAGGCACTGCACATCCACCATGCAGAAACAGGCCCCCCAGGAAACCACAGGGGAGCGGCAGCATGCAGGGAGAAAGTCCTGTCCCTCTAGGTCTGTCACAGATTTACTTAAATGTAAAATCCCTTTGTCTACACACAACCTGGGCAACACAAATAGCTGTGAGCCCTGCGAGGAGCTAGATGGAAATGCCCCAATACCACGCAAATCCTGCCTCCAAAAGGTACCAGTGGCAAACAGCCCCCACAGCTGCAGAGAACCTGCGTAACATCGTGGGTTCAGTAAGGCCTGGAGGCCTGGAAGGACACCTGGATACCGACACTAACAATGGTCTGTGTCAGCTTTTGCTTGGAGGTGGTGACTCTAACCAAGTGACTCAGGGACTAAGGGTGGGACTCTCATGAGGGCATGCATGCCACGCACAAGACACAGTACGCAGACACACTCATCCACACACTGGTGCACACCCTATCCCAGGCCCCAGGCCCTCCTCACCGGGGTAGGTGCTCTGAGTGAGCACTGTCTGTGGGCAGGCCTGGAACTCTGGCACCTGCATCTCATCCCGTTTTCTTTTTTCTTCTCCTGGGAATGCCTGGAGACTTGGAATGTCTTTACATAGAAGAAAATGGAAAAATCAATTCATCCTAAAGCTGCAGCGAGACCTGGGGAGGCATCTTAAAAGACACCAGCTATGGTCTGGGGCCAGCCCTGGGCTCGACCTCGGGCCAGCTGCTCAGAGTTTGTAAACAAATCAGCAGGCAAAACAGGCCACCCCCACATGGGCCCAGCTCTGCCCTATCCAGTGGACCGTGAACAAGTAACTGCCATCCCTGTGGGGGCTTCCGTTTTGTGTGGTGGGATCTCTACAGGGCTGGGCCCCCACGCAGAGGAGAGGCTGCAGAGGCAGAGGTGGGAGGGGGAGCTGCCACACTGGACACTCTGGATGCTTGGTCCAGGTGGGGATGGGGACCAACAGCCGGTCTGCACTGTGCCAGCTTTGAGCCCCAAAGGGGCGGGGGCGCACAGCTGCTGATGATAGCGCAGAGCGCCCCTGAAGGAGCAGGCCTTGCCAAGCGTTATTTTTGGCATAGAGATTACAAACATGGATTCTGGTGACACAGAAGCTCAGGAGGCCACGGCTCCTCCCTGTGCCTGTCTCCTCGAACCACCTGCAGTGTGTAGATGGAAGAGCCAATTAGGCACTCGGAGATGCTGCATCCAGTGCCCGGCTAACAGGGGCATGCCCTCCTCCTGTCCCACCAGACTTCTGGAGGACCTGACCTCACTCTTGGGAGGCCACTGGGTTACCAGCACAAACCAGGTACCAGTTACAGAGGAGAAAGACAGGCCTATGATATCCTACTCTGAAGTTGAGGGAGGCAGTCCCTGCACTGGGCAAAATAAAAAACCCACCTCCTTTCTGGGATGAGGCAGGACATATTCCAGCAAGACAGAGTGCAGGGGGCTGGCCTCCAGCCCCAGTTTCGGAATCATTACTCACCCAAGTAGGAGACCTGGGGTGCTTCCTTCCCCTGGAGGTCCTGCAGTTCCGGAGCCTGGGGCTCATTCTCCTCGCCCTGGCAGAGAGCCAGTGGGGCGGCTACATCATCTGTGTGCAGAGCAGAGTATACGCCTGGTCTGTGATCTGGTCCCGCAAGACACGGAGCACAGGGAGGGGAACCAGGAAAGGTCCAGAAGAAAGAAGCTGGGCTGTGGCTCCAACAGGGGGGACAGGCCACAGTGAGTAGGGAGCAGGTGGGAAGGAAGCAGAGTGAGGGCCAGTGGCGGGCCTGGGCGTCTCCTTCAGGCCTATCAGTTAGAACAGCAGAAATGAAGAGCCATACGGTAGGAACAGCAGAAGAGAAGCAGATGCACGGGGAACATGTCCCACTTGGTCCTGCATGCAAACAGCCAGGTAAGCCTGACCACAGCAACGAGTGGCAGGTGGTGGTCAAGCTGCAAAGCGTCCACAGGGCCACTGGTACAGGGGGCCTCTCATCAGGGCCAGGGGCAAACCGCAAGATCAGACACAGACCCCAGCTCCTGGGCCTCAAGAGGCAGGGACAGCTGTCTTACTCGAGGGCAAGGAGACCCCGTAGTCCTCCCCAATGATGAACTCTCCATAGAAGCCAGTCTGGGCAGGGTCTAGAAGGGACCAGTCCTCTTCTGAGAAGCAGAAGATCATGTCCTTGAAAGGAGAAGCCCGGTTCTGAAATCACAGGGGAACAACAGGGTTGCCTCAGTCCAGGGCCCACCAAGGGGAGGATCCAACCAACCAGGGGGGCTGTGCTGGGGTGGAAGCAGAGCCCGGCAACCCGTGCAGACAGGAGGGAGAAAAGCACACACACCTGCTGTACCATACTGTCCCAAGACCTACCGCCCAGAGCAGATGTGGGCGCCTCCCGGGGCAGCCAAGGATGCAGAGAGGCCTTTTGCTCCTGCAGGAGCCTGCCCACCCCCAGTCCCCAGTCCCCAGTCCCTCCTGCCCACCCCCCCAGTCTCAGACCCTCCTGCCTATCCCCAGCCCCAGGCCCTCCTGCCCACCCCCAACCTCAGATCCTCCTGCCTATCCCCAGCCCCAAGCCCTCCTGCCCACCCCCAGCCCCAGGCCCTCCTGCCCACCCCAGCCCCAGGCCCTGCTGCCCACCCTCAGCCTCAGATCCTCCTGCCTATCCCCAGCCCCAGGCCCTCCTGCCAACCCCAAGCCTCAGATCCTCCTGCCTATCCCCAGCCCCAGGCCCTTCTGCCCACCCCCAGCCTCAGATCCTCCTGCCTATCCCCAGCCCCAGGCCCTCCTGCCAACCCCAAGCCTCAGATCCTCCTGCCTATCCCCAGCCCCAGGCCCTTCTGCCCACACCCAGCCTCAGATCCTCCTGCCTATCCCCAGCCCCAGGCCCTCCTGCCAACCCCAAGCCTCAGATCCTCCTGCCTATCCCCAGTCCCAGGCCCTCCTGCCCACCCCCAGCCTCAGATCCTCCTGCCCATCCCCAGCCCCAGGCCCTCCTGCCCACCCTCAGCCCCCAGGTGGCCCAATGGGGAACATCCCTCAAACTACTAGTATGCCCAGCCTGCCACATGGACTCCATCTCTAGAGCTCATTCTGCCCACCACAGCAGCGAGGTCTGTACAGGCTTCCCTGCAGCACTCATGGTGTTGGACAAGCTAGTAAGAACTGGAAACTACCTGCATGCCCATCACTGGAGAACTGAGTAAACTACAGACATCCCGGAAGGCAGGATCGCATACCCTTAAGAAGCACGACTGCCGCCTGTGTGTCTTGTGCGGCTTGTGAGAAGTGGCTGTGTAGAGGAGCCTCTGCCCCATGCCCGGTGTCCAGAAGACTGCACAGCTGCTTCTGCAGGGGCACTGGTATCGGGGAGCAGGGCTTTCCTAACACTTTGTGTCATGTATGGGAAGGTGTCAAAAAGTGACTTGAATTTACAAAATGACTGCATATCCATATGGGAGATCAGAAAAATCAAGAAAGCCTTTGCAAAATGGAGATAGAGGTCTTTGCCAGTCAAAGCACAAAGTCAGTCTCAAGGTCCCTGTAGGTACTAGTATGACAAACAGGTGGATGATAACAATACCTGACTGAAAAATTACTTCTTTTGTTTGTAATGACCTAGAACCTTGAGTATTTCACAGCATATCTGGCAGAGGTGAAGTGTGTGAGAAGAACTACCAGTCTAGGGGACATTTCTGTTTGTACTTTCTAATCCCCAGAACAGAAATACATAAATGTATTCTTTCTACTAAGCATGCCACTACGTATATATACATTTGTAGTAACTGTCTGCATGTAGCATTCACTGAGTATTGGCTTAACAAGGCACATATTTTCTACAAAGGGTTTCAATCATAAAGCATTTGAAATAAAATTCCATTTTTGGTTAAAAAAATAAGTCTTTTATACAGTTAATTGGAAAGGACTTCAAAATGAAATTTAGGGGAAAAAAATGCAAGCCACAGTGCTTTTGTATAATATACTAACATCTGTTTTTTTAAATGGAAAAGAATCCATAGTATTTTGAACATATGTCTTTGCATCCACCTAGACCTCCAGAGGCTCACCATGTTACAGCCATGTGGTTGCCCCTGGGGAGCAGGGGCCAGGTGTGTGTGTTTGGGTTGGGGGACAGGGCTGGGGAAGGAGGGTTCTCAGAGACTCTCCCTCACCCACATACACACTTCTAATTTTTAAAGTTAAACCTAGAGAAAATAGAGTGATACAATGAGCATGAAGGGCGTACAACTCTTCAACTGCACTCACCAAGTTAACACTGCTCATTTTGTCCCATTTCCCCCTCTCCTCCTGTGCTGGGAGGGTACTTGTTCCCCAGATCTCTGGGGCATGATGCAGTCCCCCAACATGTGCCAGCACAGATTCCCCAAGAAGGTTCTTCTGAACCAGCATGATTCTTTACACACAGTGGTTCTCAACCAAGGGGGGCCGATGCAATACTCCAGGGATACCTGAAGACATTTCTATTTGTCCCACTGCAAGGTGAGCACTACTGGCACTAACAGAAGGCCGCTCGACACCCTATGTGCCCACATGGGCCCACATGACAAAGAATTATCTGACCAAAGCGTCACACATACCACAACTGAGAAACTACTCTACAACACCGAGAAACTGAACTTCTTTAGAATTATAAAACAGTTTCCTTTTCAAGGAAAAACACAAATTAAAGCCACAGGTGGCTGTGACAAGCAGCCGGGATGGGGACTCACTGGTGGGCCCCTAGGATCTTGCTAAATACAAACTGTATCTTCAAATGCCAGTCATCAGTAATGCAAATGAAACCCAACAACCATACATTTACAATTACTTGTCTGTTTCTCTTTGTTTTGTTTTTGTTCTTTCTGCACAAGCCCATCAAATCAGAAGTGTAATTATGCGCTGGGCTATAGAGGATGTAGGAAGCAGGCCCTCATACACGCTTGGCGGGAACGCACACGGGAGTATGGAACAGAGGCAGACCCTGCAGTCCAGTAATTCTACGTCTAGGTAGTCTTCCTAAGGAAAATGCGGGATGCATGCAAAGATGTGCGCTGAATGCAGAATACAACGTTTGGCAGAATCTCATGTGATGTTTTTCTTATTTACCCCCTTCTGTAATGTCTGAAGATTAATCCTGAGCATGTACCATTTATATGTTATTATGAAAAACTGAAGCAAATGCCCATATACCCAGCACATAGATATCACAACTATTAACAGGTAACAGACTCTGCTGCAGGTTTCTTTGAAAGATAAGACTGTGGTCACCCCTGAACTCCGGCTCCAGTAGCACCCCAGCTTTTCCAGAGGGAGGCTGCACTCCAGGGTTGTTTATTTTTCAGTGTGTGCCTTTTAAACTCCCACTACATCTGAAAACAGCTTGAAATGAGGTCACAGCTTGCCTCAATTTGTTTATGATCTATTCAAATCCATATATGTAAGTCTAGTTCATTGACAAACTAATGTGTATAATTTCACAGACTACAGTTGATTTTACCTATTCTTCTGTCAATATTCAGGTTTTTCCCAGCATTTTGCTGTTATAAGCTACAGTGCAATGAACGACCATGTCCGTCTGCCCCTCTGCGTGGAAGAGTGTCTCCAGAGTAGGTGTGGAGAGGGAGAATTACTGGATAGTCAAGAACACATACCACCCATATTAAATACTCCCACATGGTTCCCCAAGTGGGGTGCCTCGACTCCAGTGAACTGCCAGGCAGTGTGCTCCTGCCACACCTTTGCTTACCCCAGGCTGTATCACCAAACATGCACAGCTCTGGCGAGGCTGGGGGTGTGCAGCCATCACAGTGATGGGCTGCCGTTTCCTTGAGAAGCATCTCTTCGTGGGCATATTGGCCAGTGGAGTTTTGCCTACTTTGAGATGCTTATCTTATTTGCCTATGTGTCTATTTTCTAAGGGGATAATGTTGCTATTTTTTAAAATCAACTTGTTTTAAGTGGTGGATATACTTCAATATTTTTTTTTAAAGGATAACCTTATTTCAATTTTAAAATTTAAAAGTGTGTTGCAATCACTTTATGGTGATATAAAATAATAAGTCATATAGTGGCACAGGATGAAGATAAAAGCTTTGAAGCCAGAAATGTGGTTTTGGAACAAAAACAGACCAACATAAGAGGAGAAAAAGTCCAGAAACAAAATTTAGTACTCATAAAAATTTAATCATGAAAGAAAACCTAACCAATGGATTTGATTGAGAAAGATGATTATTATCCAATATGTCTGATATAGTTGGTTAACTATATAGAAATAAAACTAGATTCTTATCCTTGATCGTAAGTAATATAAAATTTAAAACCTTAAATTACCAAAGGGGTAAAAATGGCTTCCAGATAACATAAATAGAAACAGTCCATATGGAAAAATAATAGGCAGGTGTTCACATAAAAATTATAAATGTCTACAGCAATGAAACAGCATGAGTGAAATTAAAAGACAAACTAGGAGCAAATACACAGCATTTATGGAAGGCAAACATTACTTAAACATACAGAGCCCTACAGCACAACAGGAGAAGCCTTTCCTCCCACAAGAAAAAAAGAGGGAACCAAGAAAGTAAATATTTTTTAAAACATAATAAAAAAAAAAAACTCATCTTCACTAGTACAAGAAAAAATGTTTATAAAACATTTATCAATCATCATTTTGACAAAGAGTCAAAAAGGTGACAAAATTTCATCAACTACCTGGTCACTATACATGGAAATGTGTTCGAAATGCATTCATCACCTCCTTCGCCTGGAGGCTGAAATTCCCACAGCCCAATCACAGGACACTCCGGAACCTTCAGAAACACTTCAACTAGTAACTACAGTTAACAAAGTTGCTGGAAAGGACAATCTACGAAAATCAACTCTCTCTGTATTTCTAAACATGAAAAGCAACTGGAAGAGGAAATATAAAAAGACCAGACTTACAAGAGCATCAAAAACTATGAAATTCTTAAGAAAGATGTTTACAAAGTGTGTGCCCACCTGAACACTGAAGCACCAAGTGACTGGAAGGACTTAACATGTCCCTGGACTGCAAGAATCTACACCATGAAGATGCCAATTTGCCCTACAATGATCCAGAGTCACTGCAATTCCACACAAACACTCCAGCATTTCTTTTAGATACCGATGTGCTGATTCTAAAAATCCATATGGATGTGCGAAGCACTTAGAGCAGCCGTGAGAAT